CTAAAAGACTGAGAGTTTTTGAATAACAAGCTTGTTTTATATTTGTTTGATGGTAGTCAGAGGACCCATAGTGGACCATAGAGGAAGCAAACTTTATTTTAAGCTCTTAACTACATGGAAGAAGCAAAAGCAAAAAGCAAAAGAGTAAAGGAACATTTTTATGAATTGATACTTACCTTGTGCTGAAAATGTTCTTACTCACTGATCCTTTTGTGAATTTGAGTAAGTTAGAGCCTTAGATATAATTTACATTTAGTACTTTGAAACCTTTAATTAAATTAATTCAATTTAATAATAAATTTAATTAATTAATTAAATTAATGAAATCTTTCAGTATTGTTCGTATTTATTATTTTGTATAGCACAATGCTACTCCATTTCATTTATATATTAGCAATTGTTTAGCTATTCGCCAATTAATGAGTAATCTATCATATTTCCAGCTACTTGATAGCACAAAAAAATGGTTATGAATATTTTGATATGTGAATGAGATCCTTCTTTCTGTCTTTGATCTCTTTGAGAGATATGCCTGACAGCTGCATCTCTGGGTTGAAGAGTGTATACATTTTAGTTACTTTTTCTCCCATTTAACTCCAAATTGTTTTCCGGAATGGTTGGATCTACTTAAAGGTCCACCAACAGCATATTAGCATGCCTATCATCTTATAGCTTGTCACACTGACTAAACTGTGTCATCTTTGCCAATTTGCTGAGTGTGAGGTTAAACCTCAGAATTGTTTCAATTTGCATTTCTCTTATTATGAGTGATTGGGAAAACTCTTTTGTATTGTTGTTAATAGCTGCAATTCTTTTGAGAATTGTTGTATCTGTTGCCCAATTGTCTTTTGCGGGATGGCTCTTGATCTCATACATTTATATTCACATAGTATTTCATATGATATATACATAATATATGTGTATATACTTATTGTGCATGTGAATTCCCTTTATAATGCACGTCAGACTCTTATCAAAGATACTTGATCCAAATATTATTTCTTGCCCTCTTGACAATTTCCCTTTTTCATCCTCACTGCAGTGATTTTGTCCCTGCAAAAGATTTTTAATTTCATGTAGTTGAAATAGTCTTTTTATCTTTTGTGACCACTCCTATGTATGGTTTGTCTAAGAATTCTCTTTTTATGAAAGGTTTTGAATAGTTTTATCCTTCATATTTAGCTAAACTATCTATTGGAGATTAGCTGTGATATATAGCATAAGATGTCAGATTAATTTTTTTTCCTTTGGCAAAACTGCTTTCTAATTTTTCCAGTTTTTTTATAGTTTTTTTCTTGTTCAGTAAAGAAATCTTTTAAAAACAGTTTATGTTTTTGCATTTATTGAGCACTAGGCTATTGAGTTTGTTTCTGATTCTTGTTCATATTGTTCATATGGCTTTACCACTGAACTAATTTTCTATTTTTTAACTTGTGCTAAATGGATTAGATGATTGTTGTTAGATAGGTTATTTTATGACACAGTTTGAAGTCTAGGAGTGCTATTTCTACTTCATTTCTACTTTTATACAGCATTTCCCTTGAGATTCTAGACTAGACCCTTTCTTCATTCAAATAAATTTTGTTATTTTGTCTAGTTCTATGAAGTGACTCCTTTATGGCTTGATTACTAAAACATTAATCTATAAATTAATTTAGGTAGCATCATCATTTTTATTGTATGTGTAGGCATGTGTAACAAATATTCTGCCAGTTATTTAAGTCTTTTTAAAAAATTTCTGTAAAGGGAATTTTATAGTTTTTTTTTAATGCCTTGAGTATGTCTTGGTTATTTAACTCCTATATAACTTGTGCATTTTCTAGTTTTTATGGGATGTTATGAAAATTTGCTAAATTAAAACATGTCATAAATATGGTAAACCTATGAACTTCTAGTGTGTTGAATTTAGTTCATATACCTTAATGTATGCATCAGAAAAGCACTGTACAGAAATAATGTATTTTTTCTCTCTTAAAAAAACAGATAACACGGATATAATGCCAACACTATATGGGAACAACGTTAATTATGTCCAAGCTGAATTAGGTATATTTATAATACATATATATCCTGTATTTATATTAAAGTGGTAAGATTATATGAAGTGATGAGTTTATATCCTATATTTATATGAAAGTGGTAAGTTTATATGAAGGCAGGGAAAAGAATAGAGTTGGGTTTCAACTTTGAAATTGTTGCTGTTCAGTTGTTTCGGTCACGTCCAACTCTTTGTGACCCAATTAGGGGTTTTCTTGGCAAAGATACTGAAGTGGTTTGCCGTTTCCTTCTCTTGCTCATTTTTCAGATGAAGAAATTGGGGCAAATGAGGTTTCAAAGAATAATTAGCTAACCTTTGGCCAAATGAATTAGAATAGGTCAACTACACGGTAATGAAATGGTCAAATACCTAGGTCAGTGGTCTGTCATTGTGCTGGTGATGCTATCCTAGGGGAAGTTAAAAGTTCTCATCTTCATAGAATCTGAGAGTTGGAAGGGACCTCAGCTATTACCTAATCCAACTTGCATCAAAAAGGAAACTCCATGCTAATATATCTGAAAGTGGTCATCTAGCCTCTGCTTGAAGACTTCTAGTGATAGGGAAATCATTATCTCTTCAAGTACTCTATTCTAGTTTTGGACAGCATTAATTATTAGGGAATTTTTCCTGATATCAAATCTAAATTTACCTTTCCATAATTTCTACCCATTGTCCCTAGTTCTCCCTCTGGGGTGAAATATAATGAGCTTAATGCCTCTTCTACAGTACATTCCTATGGATATTTTGAAGACAGCCCTTATGTTCCACCTCTTGTCTCATGTCTTCTCCTTTTTAAGTTAAATATTGCCAATTCCTTCAATCACAGCCCTTCACAATCTTGGTTACACTTCTCCAGGTGCACTATAGCTCACCAATGTACTTCAACTATGGTATGTAGAATTGAACATAATATTCTAGTGTTTTAAGAGACTACCTTCATGGTGCCATTACAATTACAATTACATTTGGTTGTAAAGTTAGGAAAAACACTATGAAAATAATTATTCCATTTGGTCTTGCTACTTGAACATGGAAAATTGGTTAATCTCTGGATTCTGAATCAGACAAAAATGCATTAGTATGAGGAAGTGTTTAGAGTGCTAGACTTAGAGTTTGGAAGACCTGGCTTTAAATTTTCTGACACTACTTATATAACCATGGGCAAGGCACTTAACTGGTTTGATCCTCAGTTATTTTATCTGTGAAATAATATTAATAACAACCTCATAGATTGGTGGTGAGGCTAAAATAATATAGAACACTTTGTGAACTTTAAAATGTTATATAAATGTCAGTTGTGTGACCTGAGCAAGTTATTTAGGTGCTTAGGATCTCTATTTCCTAATCCAATAGACTGGATTATCTGAAAGGTCTGGTCTAGCTCTCAAATTCTTGGAACTGATTTTACTCTCTCTGAACAACTTTCCCAATCAATGCAGCTTGACACCTTTTCTGTAATTTATAGTCTTAAGAGAATTGTATGGGGACACTGACTGGTTAAGTGACTTGATGCTCAGGCTCACTCAGCCAGTTTGTATCAGAGCTGGGACTTGAACTCAGGCCCTTTAAAGTCTGAGGCCAGTTCTTTACCCATTATCTTTTATTTAATGAGTTGTGTTAGTTGACCTTTGAGATCTCTTCTCACTCTGATATTCTATGATTCTATAGCCTAGAATTAGAATTAAAATAGTCTATTTTACATCCTATCCTGGAAACCTAAACCACGCTTGATAGCATTATTACCATGGGATAATGTATTCTATGTTCTAAGCCATCAATTTAAAAATAAAATTTTGGATCATGCTCTATTTGTAAAGTTGGAGACAACTTAAAAATAGCCACCTAATTTGTCTCTTTCCTGAATTTAGATTTTTGTAAATCAGGTTTCTCAAAACAAGACTTGAATATTTACATTTTTAAGTGTCTAGTTCTGTATGCTTCATATATATTGGTGATGATGGTAATTTGGGCAGTATGAATCTCAATGTTGTTGGGGGGAAAACTGTAGCTTTGGGGTTCTACTAAACAGGAAATCTTTCCTTAAGGTTGTGTATCTTTTTCTAGGGAAAGAGAAAACACTCAACTGTACTGCTTTATTGAGGGATCCTACTGGTATAATTTACTGGAATGAAGAGCATGATAATGATACTAATATATATAAAGAGAAGCTAATATCCAGGTGGTATACGAGTGTACTTTATAATATGTCAAATTAATTTTTCATGTGATATTATGACTTGTGGCATGCCATTTTATTCACCAAATCAGATTAAGTACTTGACTAGTCTAATGGATTGTGCAAGAAATTACTACAGACCTTCAGACCAGAAAAAGTAGGTGGAAGACTGACCACATAAACTAGACCATACACAGAGCTGTGTTCATGAGGCAAAAATTGAAATGGTGAATAAAGTTTCTCAGTCACCCACTCATCTAGGATCATTTTGATCTGTTTATAGATTATGGTCTAAAAACAGTTATGGACATTTCAGAGCTGAAAGGGGCTTTACAGTTCTAACTCACTTCTTTTTAATTCCCTTTGGTCAGCACGAAAAACACTTAAAAGCTTGGCTTTTCCAGCAGATATCTGGGTAGCTATACAGTAGTCCACAGATTTGGGAACTTCAGGGGAATATTTTCGTAGTTCTGAACATAGAGGAATCTATTAGGGACTCTATTCTTTATTTAACATGGTACCATGGAAGAGCCCTGGGTAGCTGCATCTGCCTAAGCCAAATATAAATGTATTCTTCCTATGCTAGTCAAAGCAAACCTACTCCTGTTAAATGTTCAATGGTCTACGAGGGCCTCAGAAACAAAAGACTAAGATTACTTCAACCTCTCCCACTTCATCTTGTGTAACAATGGTCAAATAACTTACCCTGTTGAGCATCAATTTTCTTGTTTGGAGAATGAAGATAATAACATTTATGCTACCTTGCCTTCTAACTCCCAATTCCACATGGTATCTCATTAGTTGAACTGACAGAAATGATGTGTAGGAGGACGTGGAGTCAATACACCTTGGTTCAACACCCACCTCTGACTACTTACTATCTATGTGACCTTAGACAAATAATTTAAACTTTTTAGACCTCAGTTTCTTGTTTGTAAAATGAGAGAATTTGGTCAGATAGACTCTGATGGCCCCTCCAGCTCACGATTTCTGATCCTATGATTTTTGATGATGAAAATTAAAATCATGGTAGCATTTACTTTGGCATTTTTATTTTAGCATACTACAGACATTGACATCCACCTACTAGAGGTTTTCATCAGATTCTCTGAAGGAGAGAGATTCCTAAAAGTACTAAGAACACCCAAATCAAGCTATAAATCCCCAGGTTTTACCCAGGTCTTCTAGATGAATATTATTCCTTTTTCTAGTGAATATGATGGAGACAAATTGATATAATAAAATGAACATTGGGCTGAGAATCAAGAAATAGATGAGTTATTTGTTTCACATTCACTATCTGAGTGATTGAGGACTTCAATTACCCTGGCTTTAAAATAGGGGGTTAGACTAAACGGGGAAGGGGAAAAGAAGGGAATGAACATTTATATAATCCTTCATATGTACCATGCACTATGCTAAACACTTTTTACAAATATAATTTCATTGATCCTCACACCAACCCTGGGAGGTAAGTGCTGTTATTATCCCAGTTTTACAGCTGGAGAGAAAGAAATAAACAAAAGGTAAGTAACTTGCCCAGGGTCACACAGCTAGGAAGTGTCTGAGGCTGCATTAGAACACAGGTGTTTCTAACTGTAGGCACAGAGTTTCATCACTGTGCCAGATGATCTCTAGGGTCTCTTTCAGCTCTGAAATTTCAGTCTGTAATTGTATTGCTATATTTTTGATTGTATCTATAAACAGGTCAGGCTCTCACATTGAATGGGTGGGTAAGGGACTCTTCTTAATCAATTAAATTACCATTTCACTTTTTTCATAGACATAGTCCCTTGTATATCCAGTTTCTGAGTTGTCAGTGCATATAGCTGTTATTTTCTAGGAGCTTTATCTAGTGGAGCCAAATCTTTATAGTGATTGACCATAGGTGTAGCCTTTAATTTCTATTTAGCACATTCAGTTAACAGCATCATAGATCTTGAGATGGAGGAGTTCTCAGAGGACATTTGTCTAACTCCCTCATCTTAGAGATAAAGAAACCTAGGCTCTGAGTTTGGTCTTTTCAAACATCTATTATGGAAAAATTTAACTTAATATCATGTGACTTGAACATGTAAATTCAGAGGACTCAAAACCTGTTTTTTTTTTGTCTAGGTACCAACAGATTTCCCCACCAAACACCTACTTTCCTAGTTCATGGGAAATCTGACTTCTTTCTCTCACTAAAAGTTTTGTGTGGATTTCCTAATTGATGTTCTTATTTCGCTATTAGTGACAGCATATTGTGCAACTAGTAAATTCATTTACTGTATTTCATATTGCCAAAGCCTGTATTTGCCAACTCCCCTGTTGCAAAGAAAATGATGTATCAACAAATGTTCTCCCTCAACTCATATCTTTTAACATAGAATGAGGTCACAATCCATTCCCTGAAAATTATTTCCCATACAATTAGACAACACCTATTTCCTGGATCTAGTCAGTAACATGCAAATGTTACTTCAGTGATGAAAAACACATTTCTAAAAAGAATTCAAACTCAAGATTTAAATATATTGATTTTTTTTCTTTAATTTGCAGCCCAATTATGGCAGTCTAATCTATATTTTGATAAAGGAATATGGAGCGTAATACAAATTGCTATGCTACTATGTAAGAATGGAAATAAAATGGGTTCTTAAGCTTTTCAAATTAAAAGGGAAAAAATCTATTCAATGGTTCAATTGTCATCTCTACTCAGTTGAGTAATAAGCATTTACACAGCACTTACAGCATTTAGGGTTAGCAAAGCATTTTACATATGTTATCTCATTTGGCCTCACAGCAACCTTATGAGGTAGGTGCCATTGTTATCTCCATTTTATAAAGGAGAAGACTGAGGCTAGATGAGGTTAAATGACTTGTCCAGGTCCCACAGTTCTTTCGTAAAAGAGGTAGAACTGGAACTCAGATCTTCACCACCACCACCACCACCAACAACCACATCAACCCCCAAGTCTAGCATTCTATCCCTTGCGCCATCTGGCTAACAATTTCTGGAACTACTCTGGAAATAGCCGGTGAAGATCAATGATAATATTGCTTGTCAGAGGCCACAGGAGGTGTTGGTAACAAAGAGTTATTGTCAGTGGCCACTGTTCTTCCTGCCCAGTCAGCAGAGGGTTCAAGGTGGAACATAAAGAAAGCCACAAGTTGCTGAAAGGACCCATACAAAAGAGACGTTCATTACCCCAAATCATTACAAGGTTATTTTAACATGTGACTTTAACACCAGCCACCTAACCACGGCTGGTAGCATAGTGGATAGAGTGCTGGGCCTGAGTTCAAATCCAGCCCCAGACAACATACTAGCTGTGTGACTTTGGGCAAGTCATTTAACCTCTGGCTATTTCCATTTCCTCATTCAGTAAAATGGGAATAATAATAACGCCTACCTTTCAGCATCGTTGCAAGGATCAAATAAGATAATATTTGTAAAAGAGCTTAGTACAGTGCCTGGCACTTAATAGGTGCTACATAAATGCTTATTCCCTTCTGTCTTTCCCCTAACATGAAAGTGATTTTTATTGTTGTTTTGTTTTTTAAATGGGGCAAGGGGGTTAAATGACTTGCCCAGGGTCACACAGCTAGTGAGTGTTATCTGTCTGAGGTCAGATTTGAACTCAGGTCCTTCTGACTCCAAGTCCAGAACTCTATCCACTGTGCCACCTAGCTGCCCCCATGAAAGTGATTTTTTAAATAAGTTCACACACTGGAGGACAAATCCCATTGCTAATAACTCCAAAAGACGGTGTTATTTTTGTTGTTGTTCAGTTGTTTTCAGTTGTGTCCAACTCTTTGTGACAAAGATACTAGAATGGCTTTCCATTTCCTTCTCCAGCTCCTTTTACAGATGAGGAAAATGAGGGAAACAAGATTAAGTGACTTGCCCAGGGTCACATAGCTAGTAAGTGTTTTGAGCCAGATTTGAACTCAGGAAATTGAGTCTTCCATACTCCTGGCCTGGCATGCTATCCACTGAGCCACCTATCTGCCCAAGAGACAGGACATTTTCTTTTTGATGAAATTGACATATTGTTGCTCTAAATAATGGAGGCACAATGTTACACTAACCTGAGGCTCCAGGATAGAGAACCTGCCTTGGGAAATCAGAAGGCCTAAATTTAAGTCTTCCTTCTGATTCACATTGGTTTCATGATCCTGGGCAATACATGAGGTAAATCTCTAAGACTTTGGGCTGCAGAGGAAGTACCTATTTAGCATCCTTTGTACAGGGAATTTCCTTATTGGGAGTTCCTGATACCAATAAAATCATAGGTCAAAGCAAAAAAGAAAATAATAAGATTATCAGCTGGAATTTGGAAATTTTTGTTATACATGCTTTCATTGTATGCATATATGTTGCATAAGGTTTGGCCTGTTTTCTCTCATTAAGTCTTATAATTACTTCTCTGCATCATGAAAAATTCATTGGCAGCGTCTCCATATGTGGAATGATGGTATAATTCCTCTCCTAGTTAGTCCCAGACTTAGAAGTGCCCAAGTTACGAATGTAGCATATATGAAGGAAAGGCTCTTGATTTAAGATTTCCTGAAACAATTCCAAATTCAAGAAAAAAAAAGATGCATGCTTTTAAAAAGTCCTTGCAAGTCCATGTTGGTCAGATCTAAGTAGTTTCAAATTCTGTCCCTACCTGCAGTAGACCTTATTTTGGGAGAGAGGGGAACAATTAATTTTTTTTTTACATTTGATCTTTTTATATTTTCACTCTATTACCATTATCTCCCAAGGATTTTAGTCCTGAATCACTTTTTTAATATTGATCCCAAGCAATCTCTGATATCCCTTGATAGATCATTAGAGAGACTATTATTCTCTCTCACCATGTCTCCTTTTAAAATATCTATTACTGGGAGGAAATTACACAAGTGAATATAGTCAGTGCAGTTGAAGAATTGCCCATATATATAGATTATTTTATTCAAGTAATATTTTGGTAATGTTAAGCAAACACTATTACTAAATTTGAACTTCTTTTACAGTGGTTCAAATGGCAAGTTATATGTTTCCAGTCTACTGAAGATTAAAATTGTCAAAGAAGAGAATTTGAATGTTTGGTATAATTGTACCTTGGCATCTGCTGGAGTCTTGGAGACTATAGGATTCTTCTTGAAGAAGAAAGGTTTGTTAGCAAATTTTACTTCAGGAATTTGATAGTATCTTAGCTCTGGAAGGGTGTTTGTAAATCATAGTCTCAACCACTACATTTTACCAATAGGGAAACTAAGAACAGAAAAGATAGTTATTTGCCACACAGCTAGTTAATACCACAACTGATACTAGAATCCAGACCTCTTTGCTTTCCATTATAACAAGCAGGTAATTCTTTATATCAGATGAAGAAATAGAAAGAAAAATGCTTTTCATTTCATTCTGTTTTCTATTTCTGATACAGAAACTAGCGACCAGAGCTAAGAATTGAGAGTCTAATGTAGGCTTTGGAGGTGATTGAAATCAGTTTGTGTGAAATTGAGGGGCATCTTCTTCTGTCTTTCTTCCTCAGCTCCTCTTTACCTTTAGATGAATAAAGTAAGATTTAGGGCCAAATGGTGGGGCATGAAAATTTAAAATTAGTAATAATTTCTGACTCCCAAGTCTCTTTTCATTGACACAGGTTTAGAGTCCTTGAACTTATCTCTTCCTTCCTTCCTTCCTTCCTTCCTTCCTTCCTTCCTTCCTTCCTTCTTTCCTTCCTTCCTTCTTTCTTTCCTTCCTTCCTTCCTTCTTTCTTTCTTTCCTTCCTTCCAATATTTATTGAGTGCCC